ATAACATGCACTCAATTGAGAAACAAATAGGACCATAAGCATTAATTTAATTAAATTTTAAATTACTGAAATTAATTTACATGAATGTTTAGCATTCATTGAGAAAATAATTTTGTCTTGCAAACTACATACCTCAACAGACGCCACGCTAATGACATTCACAAATTAAAAAATTCGCTAACATTAGAACTATGTTAAAGAAAATTGGATAGTTCGAAATTATCAAAGAGCCGTAAAAAATATCAAAAAAACGGTCTTTCATGAAAAAAAAAAAAAAAAGTGCAGTTTCAAAATTTCACTTTCTGACCAAGACATACCGTTTAAAAATACTTTGGGCCCTTATTTGGCGCCCCGAAGGTAAAAAAAGTTTCAACTCTTATCAAATGTAATACATGTAATGCTTGCATACTACTAAGAGAATTCTAAATATTAGAGAAATACACATATTGAAAAGTATTTACCACTTTGTGTCAGAAAGAACCGTTTATCTTTTTCATTCGTTATTAGCTCAAAAGCATCTTTTGTAACTATATCAAATAAACTGTTTAAATGTGACTTGTATGCTTCATTTTCATTTTTTTGAATCACAGACTGCCAGTGAGCACTTTTCTGAATGTTTCTCCATCGCTCGTACTTTTTTTTCAATTTGACGACACAATTGTCGGCTGTTTGGGTTGGGATTTGAGCTTTTACCCAAAATATGAGACACTCATCAATTACTAATTTTGCACTATCATGGATTTTGTTGTGGGGACGTTGCAGGTTGTAAATAAAACGGATAATACTTGTTTTGTTCATAGTAAATTGTTGTTGACAATGATTTGATTGGTTATGATACCAATTTATACATAAGTCATAAGTCATAGTTGAAAAACAAAACAGACACAATTCATCGTATTATTATAACACACGAATGAACTAAACATAAAGATAAACTAAAAAAAATGAAAGACAAAAATACAATGTAAAATATGAATGTAACGTCGTCTTACAAAAAAGTAAGAAAAAACTGATCTGATTTTCGTTAAGTATTGTTGCAGGAACAGCTGATAAACGAAGAAATGAGGAACAGCAGCCAAAAACATGCCTGTTCCTTTATGTGGTTATTGGTACTACTGTACTGAGTCTCATGTCAACGTACAGCCATGGAACAAGAGCATGCGCACGACGCACAGTGAGCTAAAAAGCCCAAAAAATGCTTAAAATTCGTGCTTCCAATAAGTATTCACTCAAATCAAACGATTTTGGGCTTATTTTATTCGTGAGATGATATCCTACAATGATCCGAGTCCTTTAGAGGTGTAACGACTTTTTATATATATGTTTTTTAGGTATATATAGAGCAAATTTTGATAGTCAAAATACTCTGGATATATAAAACGTTGTTAAAGTAGACCAATTTATACAAATATGAGTATACAGGGGTTTTTGGGATCGCTGATCATGAATCTGATGTCAGAATGGCCAATTTCATCATGGCGGATCCAAGATAGCGGCCAAAAGTATCAAAAATCAACCAAAAATCACTATATGCACTGTACTTTTGTGTATTATCCTAAATACAACTACTAACTTATCCAAGTTTAATCAAAACAGGTTTTTATGATTTACATTAGAGATTTGAAAATAGTGACGACTTATTTATCGAATTCTGGCGATTGATATTAGTGTTTGGACTCCGTATTTTTGTTCTCTTTTTTTGATTCTATTTGGTTCGAGATAGATTTTATACAATCGGATTGGAGTGTTAATTTTTCATTCGGCATTAAGCAATACTGACTTCCAAACGCTAATCTGAATTGTCTATATGTTTGTATAAATAAACATTTATTTAATTCAGTATATATATACGGTAGAAGATTTAACGCATTTATTAAAATTCTTATCAGTTTATTTGTTAATTTAAAAAAGAAACGATTCTCGTGCATTTCAGTTGTAAATTTATTTTTACCCATTCTAAAATCGAATATTACAAACTTTATTTATCACTATTATCATTCTCATCATCACAATTATCATCATTATCAGTATTATCACTATCAGTATACATTTCATCTCCACCCAATGCATAATCCGTCGTCGTGTCATCTCTACATTCATCATCCATCGAAGAACTATCAATTCCTTCGACCAGAGACAGGTTTTCTCCTGTTGTGTTTTTAGATTTTAATAATGATAGCATTTCTTCTGTCAGGATCTGTTTTATTCCTCGAAATTTAGCTCGAGACATAGAAAATAAGGAATCGGAATGCATCATCAGCCTTCGAAATATGTCTGTATTCGTCGCAGTCCTAATGTCAAATTATTAATATGTTTAACAAATGTACATTAAATCAATCTTATTATTTTAATTAGTGAAATACAGAAAAAATATTCAATAATTGAACGTTTCTTGCATATAAAAAAAAGAGCTGTTAATTAATGTGGAACCTTTCCCTCTATTTTTAGTTTTTTCGATGTTTCTCGTTCGAATTAAGCTAAATCATTGTTGGAAAAATTAAAGCACGTGTAAATAACTATTAAAGATAAGACACATCTACGTTTATTTTATTCCTTGAACAAAACCATTAAAGTTATGTTACAAAACGCATAATATGTTGCAAAAAGATAAATAAGAAATATTTATAGGATTTTTGGCAATTAAAAAAATCACTGTACGCAAATACAAAGGTGCTAGGAAAAAGATGTTTAATACCTTTAGTCCATGCAGTATAGTGTATTTACTATAAGTGTGGGTAAAATTTTGTGTATATACATATAAATGTGTGCACATTATTGGAATAGAAAATTTCATCAGAACTAAGTACCACATTGTATTACATTAATGAACCTCATCTCAATAGCTATTCCCGTACAGTTAAAAATAACTTGTTTCCCATTACAGTTACTGTGTAATGCCAAATGTATGTGCATATAAAGGTTTGCATCAACATATGGAAAAGTATAAAGTTGTCATTGAATTATATGTATCGTGCTTTCAATGTTAAAGGCTATAGAAAAAAGATCTAAAAAGTTTTTTAAATTCATCCGTCCAAAAAACAATCAAAATGTTCTAAAAGGCGAAGAGGGGCGATCTGTAAGATACTAAACAAAAATTATTCATCGATTTAACGAAAGGAAATATAAGATAAGGACGTACTTTAGTCTGATAGGTTTTTCTTATAATCAAATAGACTATAGATTTTAACAAGTTATATTTGCTGTCTGATAAATGGAGAGGAATGCTCCGAATACCGGAATACAATGTTTTTTCAGGTTTTTGACAGCAAAAAAAAATAAGAAGTGCTTTTATAAGTAAAATTCAACAGAAAAAAGCCAAGATATGGATGTACTCAAATTACGTTCTGTCTTTATCGATAGAAAGCCAGTTGATTTTCCGAATTTACCATAATTGTGCATGTTTATATGTACATACACCGCATTTGCATGTTCTGAACAAATTTTTTTAACCCTGAGAGTTAGATCCTTGTAGTCTATTATCTAAGGAACAAAATAAGCCTAAAATTAGGTGGATGGAGTGAGAATTCGTAAAAAGTAGGAATTTTAGCCGTTTTTAGGCTTCCTGAAATAAAGTGAATTGTATCTTACTGCAATTTGTACAAATTGGTTGATTTTTTATGATATTCGCCGCCATCTTGGATTCAACGTTTCCAACTTGGCTAATTGGACCACGGATTCGTAATCAGCAATCCATTATGACCTTGTAAACCAAACTTGACACAAATCGGTTGATTTTTGATAAATTTTGCCGCAATCTTGGAACCGCCATCTTGAATTTGGCTAACTTGACCCCGAATTCGTGATCAGCGACCCAAAAAAACCCCTGAATACCAAATTTGGTACAAATTGGTTGATTTTTGATAATTTTGGCCACCATCTTGGATCCGCCATGTTGATATTGGCCATTCTGACATCAGATTCGTGATCAGCGATCCCAAAAACCCTTGTATACTCATGTTTGTATAAATTGGTCTACTTTAACAACGTTTTATATATCCAGAGTATTTTGACTATCAAA